CACAGAGCCTGACGCGGACTTGATCTCATGAACCTTGAAATCATGACCTGAGCAGAAATCAAGAGTCGGAGGCTTAATGGACTGAGCCCCCCAGGTACCCCAATTTGGCATAATTTTCTGAATGAACTCATGTTGATTCCACACTCTCTTTAAGTGCTCACAAACATTTTATTTAATTATTTAAAAAATTGTGTGCTAAAGTCATTAACCTGTTCTTTCTATTTCTATGCTTTGCTTTTCCCCTTAAAAATGGAGACATTTGCTTTCTTCCAGACATGAGGAGAGAGAAAGAGAAAGACAGAGAGAGAGAGAGAGGGAGAGAGAGAGAGATGAATGAATGAGTGAATCTGGGGAGGATGACTATGTTCTAGCTACTGACTTACCTAAACTAAGCCTTTTAAACTTCCCACCCCTTGGAAGACAGATCTCTCTTGGGTGATCAGGCCGAGAGTCGGGTCAGCAGTTTACCCCAATCACATGGCCAGTAGCACAGTAAGAAAGTGGGTGATGGGCATTGAGGGGGGCCCTTGTTGGGATGAGCATTGGGTATTGTATGGAAACCAATTTGACAATAAATTATCTTAAAGAAAATAAATAAATAAATAAACTCCAAAGGGGGGAAAAAATGGGTGGATTCTTTTCTGTACCATGCCTCCATTCCTAACTGTTGCTAACACTGTAATATTGCGTACTACAAGCATTTTTGTGCTAATCACATTGCATTTTGTTTTTCCATCTGACAGGCTTACATTTCTTCTGATGTTAGCAAAATACCTACTAGGCAGTGGAGATTTATGCATCTAAAATACCTGTCTTCGAATTTTTTCTTCTTTTTCCCCTTTTGACAGATACACTGAAGTGATGTTAGGAAAATCGGTATAAGTGGGCGTTTTCAAATGAGGCTTGAAATAAATAGTGGCCCCTTGCCCAGCAAAGAAGTGACACCTGTTAGCTAACTGGGACACCCCTCTACCAGCATCATGGCTTCCCCGTTGGCTGATGGGGGCTTGGCCACCCAGTTGTAACCTGAAGCAACTGAAAATAAATTCTTCCTCACTCACTCAGAGTTCTAAACCATTCATTTTGGGTGTTTTATAATGTGTGTATTAGAGAAATGAAATATCTGACAGCGATTTACTATTGCTCAGTTTAATTTACTTTTAAGCTTTTTTTTTATTTTGAGGTTTTCTTAGTAACATGTCAAGGGATGTTACTCTATGAAATGAAAGTAAATTACATTACACATGCCCTGCTACCCATGGAGCATCGAATGCCAAAGAATTGAGGGAAAGGGCTGTATTTTACCCTAAGGCCATCGTATAATTGTTTCTATTTCTTTTCAAGTGGCTTTCTCGTCTTTCATAGCAGTGGTTCAGGCCCTTGGTTTGCAGCACCGTGAGTTTCCTTCCATCAATATTTCCATCCTCTCTAATTTAACAACAAACTGAAAAAGTTTAAAGCTACCTTAAGCTGCTAATGTTATCTTAAACATTAAATGCATATCATTGTGAGAAGGTGCCATGCGGCAGTATTAAGCCAACAGATATGACAACATCCCCTTATTATTTAAATCAATGGGGTCTTCTGGTTTCATTGCTAGTGAATGATAAAAGTGGGTAAATATCCGGTAGTTTTTTCTTCTAGTATGTACATAGTTTCATTGCTGGTCTGTTTTGTGCTGGTTTTACCATAATATGTTTGATTGGGATTAAATCAATCAAGATTCATTATACTTGGGTCTTGACTCTATGAAATCAGTAATTTTATACGTAGATCTTTCTTTTTCTTTCTTTCTTAATTTTTCTTTCTTTTTCTTTTTCTTTTTTTTCTTTTCTTTTCTTTTTCTTTTTCTTGAAAATTAGCTACTGGGCAGAATATGTTGTCCTTGTTAGAGTTTCCATAAACTTACTTTATGCTTTCCATTTTCATACTGAATACGCAGAGAAGAAGTAAAGTCCTTTAGTCATGCCATTTAGGGAAGTAAACTTAACTCCTATGTTTTTGTTTGAAACGTCTGTTACCTTTACTTGGTTTTGAAGACTCTAACTTGACTCCCATTGGACCAGAATCCCAAACCAAAGTAGAATAAAAGAGAAGCGTAAACTTCCAAGTGGACAGTCGGTGATCTAAGAGGAAACCTACTAGCTTGATCCCTGTGCCCATTCCCCAAATAATGTCACCAAAGATTTCTTCCACAGCATCCCACACCGATGTGAGTTTCCCAAGGACTCCGCACATCCGCCCCCTTTCGGCATATCTGGGGTTAGGTAAGCCGTTTCTGTCCTACCTTGTGGATGTCTGGAAAACGGCATCACGATGAAACTCCCACACAGCCCCTCCTACATTGTGTATCTGGCCTTAGCGAGCATATAACTCATATACGTGATATATTACTCATTGCAGTGGCAGTTGGAACAGAGTGCTCAACATCATGAAAATAAACTGAGGTATTTATGATGAGCAGAATTTGACCTGTCAAATTATTTATAGATGCCTTATGAAAAATAAAGTTAAGAATCTGAAGATTAAGAATCAGTAAGACATATTTTAGAACGCACTCACATACTCTTTGTTTCTTTCTTCTTTTTTTCTGGCCCCAGCCTAGTGGGCAGCTCTGGTCAGTTATGCAATATGTTGGCTTCCCCCTCTGCCCTTTCCTTTGCTCTGACATTCCAGGAAGGGATCACCAGTCCCAAACAGTGCAGGCTCTGAGAAGGCTCCTGTCTCAGAACAGAAGTAATAGCATGTTTGCTCGACCTCCGAATCACATTAGGTTGGCTTTGCTATTGTTTCTTCTCTAACTTGGTAGCTCAATTCCCACAATTAGATCCCGCAATTAGATCCTGGCCGGGGACTCAACAGCACTGTACTCAGCTGTAGCAAATAAGTGTCTCCTGATTTTCTTCCCTTCCACAACCCACATCTCCACCCCAAAAGTCAGCCTTGGTTTATCTCTGTTACCTCAACATTTGCGTTCTTGAGCCCTGCCGGGTGGCCGAAGAGCCCAAATCATGGTGGTTGTTTGCCCACGTGTCCACCAAGAACTAAAATCCCAGGGTAATAAAATCATATAATAAAACAAATATGATATAATACCAAGTACATGCACACCCACACTGGAACATAAAGAGTATGTTCAATAAATGTCATGGATTTTATATGTAATGTTCAGTCAAAGTGCTTTGAGTTCATGAATCTGTCTGCTCAGCTTGAGATTTAGTTTCTATTAAAACATGTCTTAAATCCTTGAGCAAAATATGATTTGCCATAAGCCAAATTGGGGCATGGTTTCCCTCAAATTGGTTCCTTAGAGCCTTTAAATGAAAGACATGTTCAACTAATGAAAGAAGAATATTACTGAAATATCTTTATTAATTAATTCAAATTGATAGCCATAGCATGTGACCTTTCTGGGCACACGGAATGGCCATGGAGATAAGCTACTCATATCTCCCTCCAGAAGAACCTTCTGGAAAGTATGTCACACCTTCAGATCCACTGCGGTGTGCTTGCCAAAGCCACGCTCCCTTGACCAATCCTAGCAAACACCTGTGCACAGTGGGGTGCTGGATCTGGGTCTTTCCTCCTGACACTGGATGCCTCTATCTCACGTTCTTTGCCCAGGGCTCCCTGTCAGCCTGGCCGAGATTTACCCAGAGAAACACTACATCTGATGCTTCTCCAAGCCATACCTACTTCCTTCTCTCCTTTTGTGGATGCCAGACCCACACCACCCCCCTTACCTACTCCTCTCTCTCTGTCGAGGCATTCCCCACTAAATGTCTGGTAAGTCTCATTCTCCCTTGGCTTCTGTTTCTCAGACGACCTGAGCTGACATCCGCCTTCACCCGCGGAAATGCTTTGAAAACCCATTCTAGCAGAGCAAGAAGCAAAACATGGATGTTTGGTTCCATCCCATACTATAAGGGAATCCCACACTCTCGGATGAAAATAATTTGAAAACAAACACAAAAACAACAAAAAGCCTAATTGATCAGAGGGTAACTGGTGCTTTGATAACCCTCTCACACTTAATTAGAAAATGAGTTGTTTCAAAATTTTAAAATGTCATGAGAAGGGAAATCACTTGCCCCAGGATGCAGCTAAAAGGCTTATCATGGTGTAAATAAAAGCCGGACATTGAGGGAAAAAGCTAAACTTTTCTCTGTTGTTATAATTTCCTGCTTTTGGTGCATTGTGGGGGAAACTTGAGATTATATGACGAGATATTAATTCTGAATGATCTTAACTTTGGTGGGTATTGGAGACAATGTCGTCTCCCACCAAGCAAACCGTTCACTAGTGCTCAAAGAGTCATTGGGGGAAAAAAGGGGGAAATTGGGATGTCACTCTACTCTGTAAATCACAACAATTGATTCAGAAAGGACAGCCCTAAGAGAGGCCAGAGGGTTAATAAACACTGTCATTTTCACTTAATGTAACTGGCAAAAGGGCTCGGAGCAAGGCTCTACTTCATTTTTTCCAGAAAATTGCTTTGAGAAATAAACATGCAGAAGAAGAAAAACACCCCCAAGCTATCATTTTGGGAGAGAAAATGGCACAGCATTTCTTTCACGGCAATCGCAGAAAGGGCTAAATTTCTTGGTTAGCATCTAACAATGCAATTTATTTTTGTTGTCTACTAAACATGTTAATTTTTTAGGAGGAAAAAACAAGGTGCACTGTTTGGCCATAAAAAGTAATTGCTGCATTAAAAACTCTCTCAATTTCTTCTTGAAAAGAAAAAGTGCTAGTTATGCCAGTTAGGATTACAAAATTGATGATTCATCTTGAATTCAGTGACTAGTATGAGAAATTGCTTGGGGAAAGATGCGCTTAAGAGACGTTAAATCACTGTTGTGATTTTCTTCGGAGCCAATGCTTCTATGCGTTAACTTTATGCACATTCTGTATTTTTAAAAAAATGAGGAAATGCTGGGAGAGGTGATCTTGATTCTTGGCAAATCTATCACATGAAAGGAATTAAGGACAACTCTTACTGGAATTGGGAGACTGGTTTTACCAAATATGACTGAGGATAATATTTGGACATTTTCCTGGGCAGGCAGAATGGAGTCCAAGCAGGCTTCTAAGCAGGAAAGGTCAGCAGGATGATTCATGTCAAGCTTTCAAAATGGTGACTTGAGGGTCCTGGGAAGATCAGCCAGAAAGCTAGGGCTGCGGCTGTAGCCCAGATGTGCCGTCCTAGGGATTAAATCAGAGCAGGAAGTCAGGATTGGGAGGGAGAGGGAAGACAGAGCATTGCAAGTGGGGTCAACTGTTCGGACTGTAAATGCCAGGGTTAAGGGATGGAGAGAAAAGTTATGTTATTTCCCTCACATCCCCCTTTTCCGTTTACCACCTGACTCTTCGTTCTTGATGCCCATTTTAATAGCAGCAGCAACACGTGAACTTTGTACGGTGTTTGCCTATTTTGATTCGCTTTCAGAAACACTTTGAGGAAGCACAACAATTATTACTCCCTTCAATTTTTAACGATAATGTGAGCCTCTTTGGAAGCGAGGGGTTCATCCCAAGAATTATAAACAGGCAGTCGGTAGCCAAGTGGGTCAAGACACAAGTTTGCTTGTTCTCTGTTGTTGTTTTAACTTCACCACAGAGCACTCCGTGATGAATCATGATGGAAGCCCAAGAATGACCTGTCTACACGTTGACCAAAGTTACAGGTGAACTGTACAGGGCACTGTGGGGTGAGACAGCAGAGGAGGAGCGATGGCATGGGGCTCAAGGAATAACCACAAAATATGAAATATAACTTTATTTAACCTTACTATATATAATGTGTATAACTTAATATATGTAACTTCATAATACATTTCTGTTTTCCCAGCCAGAAGTTACATCTCCCCATCAACATCACTAAGCCATAGCAAAGCAAGCCTGGACTTCCAAACTAACCATGTCAAGATGTCAAAGGAAGTTTCTTATGCTGTGTTCTTGTGAGTCTACCCGTCTTCTTCCTTCGATTAGACTGAGAAGAATTTTCTTTTCATCAGTCATTGTTTTGCTCCTCTCTGCATGTTCATCGCCAGCCTCTCCCCATGGTAATAATCACAGCATTCACTCTGTGCCCAAGTGGACAATCACAGCACTGATTATTGTGTCATTGCCGGCAGTCTAAAGGCAAGCTCATTGGCGGGCTGGACGCTTACCCTGAGAGGCGAGATGTTTCCACCTCATTATGTTGAACAGCAGGAATTCTAAATTCTGTCTTAAAAAAATAGGTCATTGCTGCGGGGTCACAGGAGGGCCCTACAAATGAAACCATCTGGCTGGTGATAAAGAAAAATGGCTGCACTATCACAGAAGGTGTGCCCTGTGTGTGAAAAGTGGGTGATTAATAATTTTAGCACATTTGGCATTTCTCTATGATGAAATACCTAGCAGCAATGAGTTTCTAAATTTCATTTTACAATTTGCATACAGTGAACTTTTACTTTATCGGGGTATGAGTCTGTGAGTTCCAGCAAATGCACGTAGTCTCACCGTAATCAACCATAAGCAAGATAGAGAAGAGTTGTCTGCCTTCCAAACATTCCTTTGTGCCCCCCATTCACAAACATCCCACCAACCCCTAATGCATTAACAACCACACATTTATTCTCCTTCACTATGTTCTGGGCTTTCCCAGAATGGCACGTAAATGGAAAAATACAGTATGTAGCTTTTAAGTCTTGTGTAGGACATGTTAGCTACGATTTTTAAAGTGTTTTATGCAACAAAACAATTCCTAGACTTTTGAGAACTAAGTCTTCCCCTGTCACACAATGTAGGCAGGAGTGACCTGCGTTGTAAAAGAGAAGTACCAAGAACTTTTGCAATTTTAGTCTGTTGGTTCACGTTGGCCCCTCGGGGGGCTGAAAGTGAGCTTACAATCATGTGGTTCAACCCCTTCATCATACAGTTGAGGGCGTTGTGGTCCCACACAGAGGGGTTGTGGCAGAGTCGGGGCGAGAATTCAATATCTTGACTCCAAATGCAATTCTCTTTTGACTTTACTTCTAGCTACACAGTAACATGAAGCTTCTCCTAAATGAAAACCAAATATGAGGCTTGCTATATATATTTATTCTGTAGGCTTCCACTTAAATCTCAACCTCACATGAAAATAAATCATGACCACGTCAAAATAAGCCAAACCCTGATATGATTCACCTCTCATATATAATATGCTTACTTCAGGTCAGTCCATTTGAGTTGCTGTAACACAATACGAGAGACCAGTAGCTTATAAACAAAAGAAATTTGCTTCTTAGAGTTCTATGAAGTAAAGGCTATGAAGGAGGCTATGAAGTCCAAGATCAAGGTGCCGGCAGATTCAGAGTCTGCTGAGGGCTGGCTTCCTGGTTCATAAATGGCTATGTCCTGCCATGGCAGAGGGGGGTGAGGGAGCTCTCTGGAGTCTCTTTTATAAGGACATTAATCTCGTCACGAGGACACAGCCCTCCCAGAAGCCCCCCACTACCAAATATCATTCTACTGGGAGTTAGGATTTAACATATGAATTTTATGAGGACACAAAGTTTCAGGCTTTTGCACTTCATATTATGCATCACATAAGGAAGGGAACTGCAATGGAATGTGAGCAACCTATTTCTTAAACATTTAAGAACAACAAAGATTGTGATTTGAGCAAAAAGCACAGGTACTCAGTCTCTCCCTTTCTCTCTCTCTCTCTCCCTCTGAGTATCTGCTGAGATTTACACACTGATGTAGATAACCAGGTATCAATCCTCACTTCGATTCTGTATTTAATCCTAAGAGAGTTTGACTTTGAAATAGAGCTTGATTTTAGGAGGACATGTGTTTGAATGTGAATGAGCAGATTTATGGGGGGTTTTTTGGGTATTTTTCATGGAACTCTTTGGCTCCATCACTGAGCCAGATCTGGGAGTCAGGAAACTTATGTTTCACTTTTAGTTACTCGGAATTTCTGTCCCCGTGCCAAAGACGTCAATCATGACACTTCAGACTATATTCCAAGTAAATCATCTTTTTCAGCTCCTGGTAAAGAGCCCATCCTCCAAAGGCCGTGGGACCCCAGGTCAAGCTGATTGCACCAGAAATGAACTTCCAACACACGTGGCAACAGTCCACAGGATGGAGAGCAAACAAGAGGTAGCCTGGTTCAAAATGGTAAGCAAAGCCAGTCAGATATCCTCTCTCAATCATTCAAATTAAATTTTCACACTGAAGTGGGCCCTGAGTGTAGGAGCTGAAAGGTCATGAAAGAGACAGAGGCCAGAGAAGTCGCAATGTGGAAGCTGAAATTACGGGGAAGAAGAAACCCTGAAAACCAACCGGAGGGCATGAGCAGAGGCTGAGGACTCCTTTGGTCGCACTGGCGGTGGAGCAGTGGGATGGAGAGAAATGACCTGCCCTCCCGGGGGTCCCATTGCCTGGGGTTTTCCTGAGTCCTGTGCACACACAGTCTTGCATGAACCATCCTCCTGACCCTGGTATGGGAGGCAACTTGATTGAGTCAGTCTAGCCTTAAATCAAAAAAACCTTTAGACTCTATTTCAACAAAAACTATTGGCAAAGACTCCCCTCAACGGTAAAAGTAGGTAGTAGAGTTTCTTAAGTACAAGAGGAAACATTTCTCTCCCAGTAAAGTTAGATTTGCTACTTATTTACTGAATATGTGAGGAAAAGAAATATGAGGTAATAAATGCCTGAATAAGAACGTTTAAATAAATAAAGAGCTTTCTTTAAATTTCCAATGTAGGCAGTGATATAGACAGTAACTAACAGGCTGTTTCCGAGTAGAATTCCAGAGAAAAGTGCTTTAAAGAAAAGAAAATATATATTTATAATGAGCTCATTTATAGGAAATTTTTACTAGCGTGTTTAAGAATAGTTCTTACCCCTTATATATTTTTTCTTATATTTGTCTTTTTCTCCTAGAATGCCTTATTTTATCATGTTCTCTTTTCAACTCTCCATTCTTCAGGGCTTAAGTTAAATAAAATTATTTTCTATACATTTCCCCAGTGTCTTTGTTTGAATTCATCTCTGATTTCAGAGCATAACCAAACTCTTTCCAGCATTGATCACTTCTACTTACAGCATGGTCATTTCCATACCTGTATATTGCTTTCTCTAATCTGTAAACTTTTCCAAAGCAGAGGATTTGCTTGTTTGTTTGTGTGTTTGTTTTCCATTTAGTATTGGGAGAAAAGAGATAATATCTTGAGATACATTAAGGTAGTTTTTTGTTGATAGGCTCTTAGCTGTGATATTCCCCCTTTTTAGCCATAAATACACATTGGCTTGTGAAGGGACAGGATTGTTACAGCAGAAATACAAACAGAAAGAGTCAATATCCATATCAGAGACCATATATATATATATATATATATAAAATTTCACATTATAAAAGAGAGCCTCTTTTTCAAGAAAAGGAAGTAGGCATTAATCAAGAGAGACAGAGTAACATATAGCTAGAAACAAATGACCGTAACGAGAATAACAGAGAGCCCTGTGATTCTAGAAGAAGGATTACGGTTGGCCAGTTTGGAAGGGCTGGGAGGTAAATGAGAAAACAGAGGTCTCAGGGACCATGAGGAACTTCAGGTAGAAGAGACTGTCCCCCTCTGCCCAAGTGACACAATCTATGTCTAATACCTGGGAGCAGCCTGGACATTGGGCAACATCAAAAATCTATCCGTAAGTTTAGTCAACTCAGGCTGCCAAGACAAACTACCACAGACTGGAGGGGCTTAAATAATAGGCATTTCTTTCTCACAGTTCTGGAGCTAGAATTCTAAGGTCAAGGTTCCGGACAATTTGATTCCTGGTGATGACTCTCTTCCTGGCTAACAGATGGCTACCTCTTCACTATGTCCTCACATAGTACTATGTAGGCTGGGGGTGGAAGGGGGTGCAGAGAGCAAGTTCTCTGATTTCTCATTTTATAAGGGCACGAATCCTACTGGATCAAGTCCTTGTACTTGGCCTGGATCAGTCCATGTACTGAATTGTGTCCCCCCTTCTCCCCACTAAAATTCCTATATTGCAGCCCTAACTTCAAATGTTACTGTATTTGGAGATAAGGTCTTAATCCAATTGGGCTGGTGCCCTTAGAAGAACAGTATGGAGCACTAGAGCTCTCTCTCTCTCTCTCTCTCTCTCTCTCTCTCTCTCTCTCCATATGAGGACACAAAGAAAAGGTGGCTGTCTATAAGCCAGGAAAAGAGCTTCACCAGAAAACATATCAGACAACACCTTGATCTTGGACTTTTCAGACTCCAAAACTGTAAGAGATAAATTTCTTATACCACCCAGTCATGCCATTTTGCTATAGCAACCTTGGCAAGCTAAATATAGCATCTCATTCTTGTGACCTCATTTAACCTCACTTATTTCCTTTAGGCCCCATCTCCAAATATGGTCACAAAGGGAACCAGAGCTTCAACACGTGAGTGTGGGGGGGACATAAACATTTGGTCTGTAACGATACCAGTTTCAGTGGGATCCACATGTTGCCTGCACTGAGAAGCTTTGTGAGAAACATGTTTCAAAGCCACCTCTGGAGAGGATATACTGTCTGCCAATGTCTGTCCCTTGCTCATTGGCTGTCCAGCAAGAGTGATGCCTGCCTCTTGGGTCGAGCCTTGGTTCAGCCTATCCTAACCACTCTGTGTGGACAGCTCCAACGTCAATACCAAAAGTTATAAATACATTTCCTTTACACAGAAGGAGGAATCTCTGGGCTCACCAAGCAAGTAGTGGTGGTGTTATAAAGGGAAATTCCCTCATCCTTTCTTGCATTAATTGTTCCAAACTGAGATTTCCTTCTATTGTTGAAAACAGGATAAAACTCTTTCTCTGTGTGCACTTTTCAATCTTCATCTCTTATGTGGACACTTCCGAAAAGTCTTATATTGCCCAAGTTCCATTTTAATAACTTCTAGATATTTCAATCCATAAAAAGGGTCCACATTAAAGAGATAAATGTTCTTCTCAAAATAACAGGAAAATAGAGAGTGGAAAGTTAGTTACATAAAACCATACTGCTGGTGAAGAAAGGCTACTCAATTA